TGTTGTTATGTGCCATCGAGTCCAACCCGACTCATAGCGACCCCTCCTTGGGTTGCCAAGGCAGTATCACTACGGAAGTAGATTGCCCAACCTTTCTTCCGAGGAGTGGCTAGTGGGTTTGAACCATCAGCCTTCTGGTTAGTGGTCAAGTGCCTTAGGCGCTATGCTACCAGAGCTTCTATGATAACCCTAGGAATATCTAATCTAGATTTGATTTAAGTTAACATAGACTTTCTTCCCTCCCCTAAACAAATTGAACCTAATTCTGAATCTGTGAACTGAATACATTTTTACTTTAACCCTTAACTAATAACATCTAGGTAGAATGTCCTCACAGTTGGAAATATCTTGGAAATACTTCGTTATATTTGTGGCATCAAAGTATTTAACTGATCCCACCTATTACCTTCATTAATCAGTTTTCCAGGAGTAGCAGCCTGCATCTGCCTTTAAGCAAGAACTGGAATTGCATGTTATGTACTGTGTAGGAAGAGCCAGTGGCTATGGATTTTCTCTTCTATCCCTTTAGAGTCATTTATTTTTACTGACTGCAGGAAGAGGGCTAAGGCTGTTTTTCTGATCCACCAGCAGAGCTTAAATAGATAATGTGAGGCTAGGGGTAGGTGGTGGATTGAAAAACTCAATGTTTCTTTCATGAGGGATTTTATCAGTAGGTGATACAATTCTCAGTCCTATTGTATTATTTAGTATTGTTACGAAGCTTGGGTATTTAATAGCACATTCTTCTTTGTAGGATTGTCAAGATGTTATAGACACTCCTATGGACTTCAGCACTGTGAAGGAAACTTTGGAAACAGGAAACTATGCTAGTCCTCTGGAATTTTATAAGGATGTCCGTCAGATATTCAGCAACTCCAAAGCTTATACCTCTAATAAAAAGTCAAGGGTATGAGAAAACAGTCTTAGATGGATTAAAAGTCTAAGCAATTAGTTACATATATTTCACCAGTTTTAAAGCTGCTAAACAACTGTATATACTACAATTCTGACATAGTTGCTGATGTTTGATTCTCAGTGTCTTCTCTGAAACTTGGATTGTTTATTAGGCATTCCTAAAGATACATTTAACATAGTCATTTTGAACTTAAACACCTTTTCCTTCTCTCCTACCTACCTTTATTTTTTTAAAACTCTTTAGTAGTACCTGTATCTAAAGTATTAGTATTATAACCCTTGATTATAACCCTAATCTTTCCTCTTCTCTACTGGAGAGAGGTCAAAGGAGAGGTAGTAATTTGAGTTCCCTATAATATGTACAATAAATGCTTTGATGATGAAATGTTTGACAGTATTAATTTACATTAAATATTTGAATTGGCTCTAAATATTCATGTTCCTTTTATTATAACAAATAATGAATCATACTGGGACGTTATAACTATTTATTTATATTAATATTTAACAGTTTCCCTGTGTTTTGTCAGAACTTAAATTTATCTTGAGAAGAAAAATTCAGTAATAACAATTTTTATCTTTTGTTATCACTGTTGTCTGCTTAATTTTAAATGAGTTGCACAGTAGGTATATACTTCACACTTCTACTTCATATCAAATGAATTTTCACAGGCATAATTTTTTCACATTTGCTTTTGCCCCTTGATTCTGATTATTAGCATAACATATATTCTCTGTAGGAAGTGTGGGAAATGCAGAGAATTATGAAGAAGAAAACAAAAATCATCTATAAATCCCATCACCTATTTTAATTTACACTTAATATTTACTGTATGTGCTTCTTGTATTTCCTACACATCCATATGTGTATACCATACTCTTTACATTTAATGCACTCGTGTAATAATGTCTATACCACACGTAGGAAGCTAATGTGGGGGGGGGTGTATGCTTTGCCAAGAAAATAAAAAGAATCTATAACATATGATTTGTGTTGAAATATGTTAATA